TGAGTGTTTTGGTGAGACATGGAGTACGAGTATGATTGTCGACTGTATGGAGGGAGACACGACAGACCACGGAGGTGATTTGTCTCTGATCGCCTAAGTCGGCGATTTATTCGTGGTGTCCGAGTAAAACGGTGTCTGTGACAGGGACGATTTTTGATGTATCTTCTGATAATAGTACAACTTTAAGTCATCATTTTCATGCTGACAGTGATACTTTCTGATTATTTCGAAAGTGAAATAGATAGTTGAGAGGGTAAAATGACGACTAGGAAGTCTGTGTTTTATGATCGGAGAAACATAAGCGATAAAGGATTCCGTTGACTGGTGAGATCAAAAGTGGATTGGTTCTAGTTAACCCATCGCGTTGTTTTGAGGCATAATAAAATCTTTCAGACTTTGTCGCGAAAACTTATAGATGTGTGCCCATCGCAACACAACCTTGGCAAAACACTTCTGCTTGCAGACCGTTTGACAGTTCAATGTGATGATGCGGTCGTTTCAAAAGGGCAGTGACTTTCTTACTTGTTGTGATTATACTTGCTTTGGGTACTTATTGCACTAAAAAGCATTCTTGGTCTACTTTAACTTAAAGTACTTTGATAAAAATTCGCAATTTTTGCTAAATTTTGTCCTGAGTATCTTTTTTTACTCCTGACTAACACTTGTGTTCAAATTGTGATAATTTTGTGTTTTTTAAACCTTTTAAATCGAATTGCAGTGGTTGGTAAGACTCATAAATGTGGGCAACCAAATTGTTTGTTCCCCGTGGAGGAGGAAATGAAATGTGACGATTGTAAAAAGTGGTACCACAAAATGTGTACACGCCTAAGTCCGATGGCTTACAAAAGATGCTCGAAGCCTAACTCGCATTGGCTTTGTATGTTCTGCTGTACGGATAAAAAGGTACTAATTCAGGAGGCTGTGGACCTATTGGCTTTGGACTGCAAGAAAGACGATGGCGGAAGCAATGATAACAAAAGCACCGATGGAGAAGAATGTGTCAGTGTAGTAAGTGCTGCTACCGGACCCGTTAAACACCTGACTGTGGTTGACAGGGACGTGAAATCTCCGTTGACATTAACGAGAAATGAAGTGCCACTCGATATTGACATCGACAGTCATACACTTCTAGTCGAAATAGAAGATCCGGATAAAACTTTCACCGTTCCACGTAGTCCAGGTGTGGCTGTCCTGAGTGGTGACAAATGAACTTCAGTAAGGAGAAAAAGAAATGGGAAGAAAAAGACTGTGGGTAAAACGCAGCTGGTCAGCAAGGCATTGGAAGGGATGTTATCAGAAGAAAAATCCTCACTGCGTGACAAGACAGATCTCTCTGAGAGATCAGTCATTTTTCATAAGATAAGAGAATCTTCAGATAAAGAACCAAAGGCGAGATTTGAACACGATCTCAATCATATTAAGACATCATTAAGTAAACCACTCCCAGATACAGTTTCAGGAGTCAGTATTTGTAAGCTTTATAGAATAGGAAAAAAGGTGGATTCCGAAAGTCCTCAGAAAATCCGCCTCCTAAAGGTTTCATTCAACACGGTGTAAGAAAGGAACCTGATTCCAAGTAATTCACGTAAACTGATAGGATCCGGAATACATGTCCGTGAGGATCACAGCCTAGCTGATAGTATTAAGAGAAGAGCTGCAGAAGTGGAAATAAACGAGCGTCGCCGAAACGGTGAAAGAAACCTCGTTCTTAAGGGTTTTCAAATTGTAAAAGTCCGGAGCAAAACGATCCCCAAGCCACTCTGGGTGGCAAGGGAAAGGTCTCCACAGACTTAAAGGTATGCTACACAAATGCCCGCAGCTTACTAAATAAAATGGCGGAGCTCAAGCCAGCGGTGGATAAAGAAAAACCGGACGTTATTGCTGTCTCGGAAACTTGGTTAACTTCAGAAGTATTAGATAGTGAAATCCAGTTGACTGGTTTCATAACCAGTAGGGCTGATAAATTAAACCGTAGAGGAGGCGGGGTTATTCTGTACACGAAAAGTACCCTAACCATAAGATTAGCTGAGACAGTGGCACATGTTTCAGGGACATGTGAACTGGTGAGATGTAAGTTGAAATGCCGACGGCAAGATATTGAATTAGTTGTAGTATACCGCAGTCCACAATGTGTAGCAGATGATTTTATCCTAAGTAAACTTAAGTCCTGGTGTAACAACGGTAAAAGTCTTGTAGTAGGCGACTTTAATGCACCACATATAAACTGGGTTAACTTAGAAGTAGGGTCAAACCATGTCGTCGTTCGGCTGCAAACTGTTAGAAACCTCGATTGGGTTAGCATTATTCCAACACATTAGAGATCCCACAAGATACGACTTAGGAAACTCTTCTCTTTTAGATTTAGTCTTCACACACGGTGATGACGTTGGCCAAACGGCTTTTCTCCCACCACTTGGGAGAAGTGACCATGCAGTCATCTTATTCAAATTCATGGCTGAGATTGCTTGTCAAACAATTGCGCCGGCCCGTCCTAACATATGGAAGGCAGATATGCAGGCAATTAACTCCGCAGCATCGGCTGAGAACTGGGAAATTGACTCAAAGGCATCATTACAAGAGGCATGGACTCTATTCAGGCAGTTATACAATCGGGTAACTCAACCATACATACCCTGGACTGTCCCAAAGAAAAAGAAGCACGGACATCCCTGGATAGGGCGGGATATTCGACGCTTACTAAGACAAATGAAGAAATGCTGGGATGTTGCCATCCGCCTTGGCATAGCAAGTACGATGAAACGCAACGGATCGATAAGAAACGAGTGTATAACAAAAATTCGGGAAGCTCAAAGAAAATATGAAATGCAGCTGGCACAATCTACACTCAAGCAGCCCAAGAGAATATTCTCGTACATAAACTACAGAACAAGGATGCATCATTGGATTCCCAACGTAATGAAAGTAGGAAGTGAATCTGAAATGATAGAGGAAGATCAGGAAAAAGCTGAGGTTATGACTGAATATTTTGGGGCAGTTTTCACTCAGGAACCTCCTCTAGAGAAAGAACCAGACCCAAATACAGAGTCAACAAACCAGCTGCTCACCGTGGACTTCGACCAAAACGACGTGCTTAAGGCTCTTAGCACCCTAAACATGGAGAAGTCAACAGGACCAGATGAACTACACCCCGAAATCTTGAGACATATTGCCCATTATATCGCGGCCCCACTGACTGTGATATTCAATATGTCACTTGGCCAAGGTGTGTTACCTATGGAGTGGAAGGACGCAATCGTCACTCCCATACATAAAACAGGTCCACGACAAGTTCCATCGAATTAAAGATACGTAAGCCTCACCAGTGTGGTAATTAAAATACTGGAAAGAATAATCAAACGGACCATAACGGCATTTATGGAAACCAATAACTTGCTGAACATGGCACAGCATGGTTTTAGAAAGGGTCTATCCTGTACAACGAACCTTCTGGATTAATGCGCTAGACAACGGAAACTCAGTGGATGTTGTCTACATAGATTTCAGTAAGGCTTTTGACAAGGTGCCAACTAATAGACTGCTAATGAGGTTGGAAAACCTTGGTATTGCCGGACCTCTTTTAAAATGTATTAAAGATTTCCTAGTAGTGGAGTACCCCAAGGTTCCGTCCTAAGTCCTTTACTTTTTATAATGTATGTTAATGATCTTACAAGTATAGCACAGTCTCCAATGTTATTATACGCTGACGATGTAAAAATTTGGCGAGTAGTAACTGGAGAAAAAGACGCATTTACTCTTCAGGCAGACTTAAATAATGTGATAAACTGGTCTAAAGAGTGGCTGATGCCTATCAACGCGGCAAAGTGTGTCTACATGCACTTGATGGATTCAAAGGTTAATACGTACAGCATAGGGGATGTGTCATTACCAGTAGTCCGGTCTCATAAGGATCTAGGGGTGACAGTGAGTAATGATCTTAAGACGACGGCCCATTGCCGGGAGGTCGCAGCCAAGGGGTTTCGAACCCTCTGGGCTTTAAAAAGGACATTCACTAAGTTAGATACTACCATGTTCACCACAGTATACACATCCTTAGTGGGAACTAAGCTAGAAAACTGCGTTCAGGCTGCAAGCCCCTGTTTAAAAGGTGACTCGGACATACTAGAAAAAGTACAGAGGGCAGCTACGCGTGCAATTCCGGAACTCCGGGGTTTATCATACAAAGAACGGCTTGAAAAACTGGACCTCTTTACTCTGTCCTATCGCAGACTAAGGGGAGAATAGGTTATGCGATTAATAAACATAATAATATATTAAAACAAACAAAAATACATAACTTATTGAAATGTCTAGATGGCCGGAACAGGTAACCCAGATGCCCAAGCAGGCTGCGATTCAGACTTACGTACTTTCGTCTGTTGCAATTCGTAGAAGAGAATAGGTCGCTCACCGGCATTCTGCATCGCACTCTGTCCAGATTAATTCTTTTCAGTTGTTTCTAGTTTCTATTCATTTTTTGTTGCAGAGGATATGGGATTTTTAGTCGGATGCCATTTGAAGTATGTTCAGTCCAGAAATATCAAATCATACAAAGTAGAACTAAAAGTTCGCGAGTAGGATAAAGAAAAAGTTGACAAGGTTAATCTTGGAAATACTTATGAAGATGCTTTTGCCGCAACCGATTTTACCATTACTGTTGGTGTCAACAATAAGTTGACTGTCCGACAATGTGATTGTTACCAATTCTGACAACATAACTGTTATAAAACTAACTTATGGATGAAGCTGAGATTACTGAACTGATCTTCTAGAAGGAGAGAGTGAAACGTTAATTGTGCCTATAGTTGACCCATTACTTTTAGTCAAGTTGAGTCTGTAAAATTTGATCCAGGAATGATTTCGAGTTCTTGTCAGGCTGTTTAGTTTGGTGAGATGTAAACTTATGGAAACCCGATATAATTTTTTTCTTTGGAGAGCGTTACTAAACACACTAAGCTATATAAGTAAATTGTAAGGGAAGGAGAGACTACAAATTGAATGTTGTATGGAATAACCTTGAGGTCCGGTAGCGGTTTCAACCCATCGCGTCATCAGTCTATAACATGTGTTCACGGAGTTCCTGATGGATTATTAATCACAGAACAGCTGTAGTATGGGTAATGAAGACAGGATTAAAATAACTAACCATGGATCACGTTTGGTTTTGTGAATACTGCTCCTCAGCTGAAGGGAATGAAAGTAAAAAGCTTTTCTCAACACAGAGAGACTTCGTTAATCATATCCGAGCACACCATTTAGTTCGCAAGTTTAGAAATGATGTGGAAACGTTTATCTGCCGGTGAGCTCAGTTGGTTTTATATGTTAAAATAATTTCATGTCCAGTCAACACTTTTTTCCATGTCAATTTAAATTTGTGTGTAAGGTTAGCGATAAGCAAGCGGGATTAGGTGCTTATCATAGAGCAAGAAGGTTCCTCCAACATTATTTTGAAGTATGATAAACACAACACTTCTTTGCACGACACCTTAAGGTATTTATACAATTGTATAGGAAGCTGCTTCACAAACATGTATCGTGATAAAACTCCCTACGTTGACCAATCAGGTTATACTATTTATTCTATTTACTGCTCACAAACCGAAATCAATATGTAATCCTGTTTCTGTTTCAAGGGAATCTTAAATACCAATTGGATTGTTACAAATATCATAGCTCACTTACTTGGATTACTTATTCACAGTAATACTTCAAGCTTTTAAGGAAGTAGAAAATCGCAATGTGAAGAATTGCTCAACGAGTAAGTTTACTTGATATCTAACAGGAGTCACGCCACAGACTTTGCGAGGGTTATATGTGGTGTGCTACTTGAGAGGTTAACAAAAATCATGGACTGAATCGGTCAGGAAAGAACTCATAAACTTGAGAATGATTATTTCACTTGGTCGACCAGTCAATCTTATGTAATATAAAACCTAGTACATTAGCTCAGGTTATCATCCCATGTTAGCACAGCGAGATTAAGCTTTTCCAAGACAAATTCCAGAGCACTAGTATTAACGATTATTTCCTCGTCTCTTTCCACCTGAACACTTGTTTAATCTTATGGCCATATGAAACACTTAACGCGTGAGAACGCTACTTATCCATCTCTGATAAACATGTACCGTGAAAGATAAACGTCTAAATTGCCGACTCGCATACGAAACACGTTTCGCATACAAAAATGTTAAAGGGTAATGTGAGAACTAAATAAACACCCAGGTGGTACTTTTGCCTAACAAGTTTAACTCTGTGTTGTAAGTTCTTTAAACCGCCAAGATTTGATATGAATGATTGTAGTACATTCTATTAATACGAAGAACAACATAATTTTATCCTTAGCTACGATTTTATTATATGGTAAGACGGTTTCATACACATTGGACTACACTTCTATCAATTAAATGTCGTTCAGTATGCAGTTGGTCATAACCAACGTATAAACGGTCACAATTGTGCACCAATCCAAGTTTTTAATAGTTGTTTCCGCTAACAAATTGCGGGTTGTCTTATATTCTTGTTTAGTCAGTTGTCCAGTTATCACTATTATTGATTTATTTATTTGAACACAAATATTGGTACAAAGGGGTACCGAATACATATGCGCCATACAAGTCACTTTATTTATGTGTGGGTCGTGATGGTTCCCGGGTGTCCAGACCGAAACAGACGGTTTCTTGTCTTCCCTTAAACCGTGAAATTAAATTTGTTTTATACCTTTCTTTCCACGAACTAATTCTTTCTTCCTGCACGATATCCTTATAAACGATCTTTCTTTTATACATTACTACCGTTGAAGTGACTACTTTTATGAGTTTGGTGTTCATCTTGTTGTGCTAATAAGGTGTGGCAACTTGGACCGATGCACATATGTACCTAGCCCTACGTTGTAGCTGACTGATTGAAGTGAGAAATCATAATTATGTTAAGACCGTAAATTCACCTTCCAAGTGATTCGCTAAATATGGCCGAAAATATTCGAAATTATTAGCTTCTTAGGATAGCCTTTTCAATCTTCCCACAACAAACACCACTTAGGCTTCAATCAATAAGGTGGTTTGAAAACATATCTAATAACTGTCTACCTAGTCAAGTGATACTATCTGGTGTGAAAGTAGATTGGATAAACGTTAGGAATGATCAAACGAAGTGACGTTAGTCCATGAGGTCACTCAATAGCTGTCATTTTAAGCCATGCTAGTACATCCATACTACTTGGTTGAGTCCCATGTAACAACCGCTAGCACCGGTTGGGAATGTTTGTTAGTTGGTTCAGAATTATTTATTTATTTGAACACATGAATATTGGTACAAGAGAGCGCCAATATATATGCGCCACACAAAACAATGAGAATTCGAAGAGAAATAGAAAAAAAAAAAACTAAGGAGCGCAGAAGAAAAAGAGAACGATAACGAAGAGATTGGTGTAAGGTAGTGTGGTAGTAACGAGGGAACGGAAAGGTACAATCAGAAGAAATCTTTCAGGTAGGGAGACACAACCACTTTTTATGAAGAAAGCAAAAGAAGGTTACAGCAGGATCGCCACTGGCTTCTATTCTGAGCCATATCTGATAACGTCTCTAGCCACTGTGTAGCACCATCTCTCGAACCCCAACCAGGGAGTCGTGAAGGACCGACACAAGCCAGTCCTTTGCAGCTTTCTTTCATACCACGACACCATGTCATGCACTGACCACCTCTCCGCTTCTTCCAATCAGTCCCAGAGTCGACAAATAATGCACGACGTGGAATTCTCTGGGACGACATTCGGAGAACATGTCCAAACTACCGAAGTCGATGTTTCAAGATGGTGACACCAATCGGATTATCATCTCTGTGCCCGAGCACACGATGCCGAACCTCTGCATCACTAACATGGTGTTGCCACTGGATGTCAGCAATCCTTCGGTGACAACGATGATCGAACACAGAGAGTCGTCTAACGTCCTCAACTCGGAGAGACCAGGTTTCACAAGCATAGAGCAAAACTGCTCTCACCGACGCGTTGTAGATCCGACCTTTTACAGCCAGACTAACATCACGAAGGCGCCAAAGGTGGCCCAGATTGGCATAAGCCGCTCTGGCTTTCACTATTCGTGCATTGATCTCATCACTCACACCCCCACCAGCACTTATGCAGCTACCCAGATACACGAACTTCTCAACTACGTCTATCTGCTCACCATCCAGGGTGAGTACACGATTGGAATCCTGCCAGTCTTGTAGAAGTACTTTGCACTTCGAAGGTGCAAAGCACATACCATACCTACGGACACTGATTGCCAACTGATTAAGTGCGGATTGCATGCCTTGGGCATTATCGCACAGTAAGACAATATCGTCCGCATACTCAAGGTCGAGAAGTCTTTCTCCAGGCAACAGATCCACACCACCATTACTTACATTCATCAGAGCTGTTTCCAGAATGCCATCGATGGCAAAGTTGAAGAGGAATGGTGAGATTGGGTAACCCTGCCTAACCCCACTGCTCGAATGGAACAATGGAGAGAGGTGGTTGTATGCCCTCACTCTGCCTGAGGTGTTTTTATATAGGGCTTTTAGGATGTTAATAAACTTCTCAGGCACACCCTTCTTCAATAGACAATCCCAGAGAACAGCCTTGTCCAACGAATCGAAGGCAGCCTTGATGTCAAGAAACACTACGATTGTTGGCCTTTGAAAAGTATGGCGGTGTTCTAACATTTGGCGGAGGGTGAAGATATGATCAATACATCCTCGACCGGAACGAAACCCAGCCTGCTCCTCGCGAGTCAATCTTTCTCGGGTTTTGAACAACCTACGAAATATGACGGAAGCCAATAGCTTGGACGCAATTGGAAGTAGACTTATCCCCCGATAGTTGTTACAGGAACCCTTTTTAAAGATAGGGACAACTATCGACTCATTCCATGACGTTGGTACACTCTCTAGTTCCCAAACCTTTGTAAACAGCGTCGTCAATTCCTTAGTCAAAAAGTCACCACCATCTTTAAAAAGAGCCGGAGGTAAGTCATCTGGGTCAGGTGATTTGTAACGCTTCAAGAGTTGGAGTTCCTTGCAGACTTCCTCCTCGTTTGGTGGATCAGTCGTCACCGGCCATGGAAGGCAGGACAGTCTGACCGATGTTGCCGGAGCAGCAGGCCAGTTGAACTGCCCTTCGAAAAATTCTGCCCACCGTCCAAGACGTCGATGGATGTTAGTGATTGGCATCCCATCATCCTCGCAGATTGTTTCACTCACACCAGACTTCTTGCTGTCAGTGGCTCGGATGAGCTGGAAGAGCTTCCGGTAGTTACCAGATGCAGCTGCTGCTTCCAGCTCATCAGCACGCTCCGACCACCAGGCTTCTCGGTCCTTACGCAAGCTTTGCCCAATTTCCTTACGTAACATCCTTCGTTTATGGTCAAACTCACGGTCACCCGGAGTAGACCGACGGGCTTCAATGAGTTGTAAGGAACCAGAAGAAACCCAGTGCTTAAAAGCGGGATGTTTCGCAAACCCACAACTGACTGTTCCCGCCATTTTCATGACGTCATGCAATTGCAACCAATGTTCATCTATACTTTTCGGTGGATTGGTAGCTAGCCTAGAGGCTAGCTCGGTTCGATACTTATGTTGGGATATTCAGGGAAATATCCCAAAATTATCCTGTCAAGCCTAATGCTATTCTTGGACATGAAATGGTATAATCTTATTGGTCAATATTTATTTAACGTGTTATTTTCCTGTTGGCCATTGTTGTACAATATTATCTTCTATTTTATGGTACGTTGTGGACTGCTTGAATGGTATATAAACAAAGCATGTTTGAAATATAATGATTCATATATCCGAGGCTGTGACTTGCGTTCTGGACTCAATTGGCTGGGCTATACAGGGAAGCGAGACCAATCAGAACCCTAGGTCGTTCTACGTGTTTGCGCGTCTTTGGTCCGATCAATAATTCGCTACCCTTAATCAGCTTTATTTTTCACGTTATAACAATTGGCGACGGGGTGAAGAAAAGATACAATCCAAAGTCATTCTGTAATTATTCAACCAATCAGTATCCAGATTGTCATCAGTGTCCTTGAACCACATTGGTCATTAGTCATACAGTAATTTTCATCACAGGTGCTGATTCAAAAAAATGACTCTCCCCTCCGATCGATTACAGCTGCTCTTTGAACGACATTTGGAGTTATTAGTCAAATTCCGCACGCAGCTGCTAAATCACTCATGCTATGAAGACGCGACGGAAGTGGATGGATTGATATCTGAAATACACAATGAGCTGGAAAATGACAGCAGCCTCCATGA